ACATATTTTTTTTGCTAGCTTGCCCCACCAAGCACATTTTTTGGGTAAGCATCTAACCGAGCTATATAACCTATGGCAATGTACGCTCAGGCTGAACCAATTCCAAAATCAAATTTCTTTCATTCTTTGTAAAGCTTAATTTACAAGCATCAATTGTTTTATTCAATTTTTCTTTGGTCTTTTTTCAGCTTAAGAAGTCCCAAACTCAGAATTATATACAAGATGGAGAAAACTAGAGGATAGAATGATAACAAATAATGCAAACTTGATATCTCCAAAAATAAAAATACTATTAATGGTGCACCAGTCATATCGCATCTTTGGAATGCCTGGTCATCTCCGTTTAGTGATACCTATAAAGATAAGTGATACGGGCTAAAGAGATTTTGGAACATATGAAAAACATGTATCGTCCAATGAAACTTATCACACCTTCTCATAAAAAGGGCAATGATAACATCCCAACACTCGACTACTCGGATATCTCACAAGAGTGTGAGCGCCCCCTCACCACAAGAGCTATGGTGACGCCCATACCCTTGCGAGACACTCAACGATCAGGTGTCATCAAGTATAAAACTTTTCTTATATAAAATGCTTTCAATAAGTTGATACGGTACATTTTCATTGAATGAAAATAATTATGACATGGAATACCTGGCACACCCAAAAAGGGCATGCAATTTTGAATCTAGAGGGATTTAAAAATTCGGATTTATCCATGAAGAACCCCAAATGCCATATTATGCTCTCAAAGTCTGAGCATCTGGGATCTTTTGCTCAATTGCTAAACTTGAGCTCATTTTTTCGGACTTTCAATCTAATTTCAAGTGAGTTTGAATAATGGGCTTAAAATTAAAGGTTTTGATTCTATCTCGATAGAATGAATGCCTAGACAAACAAAATGAAAAATAAATAAAGATAACAAATTTAGGCTGCCATGATATACAACTATGTAACACATCCTTACAAGATGATATCTGAGATGAAAGGCAAATATAAGTTTCAATATGAAAGGCAAACATAAGTTTAAATATTGGAAGAGTTTTTACATTTTTGCCATAATTAAAAAGAAAGGACCTATCCTAGGCTACCATTCTTGAAAGGTACAAAGGTCATAACTGCAGCTTAGTTTCAAGATTTGGGAAACCAAATTTGCAAATGGATAAAGAAAACAATTACTGCATACCCCACATTAAAATATAAATCACACCTTCTTGTGATCTTGATCATTGCTTTTAGAATGAAGCCAAGCAGTATGCTAAAATGGACTTTTATTTTCTGATTCAAAGAAAATCATCAAAGTAAAGTGCAATGCAAGTCCACACAAAGTATATAAGATGCAACGATACCGGCAACGATTTAGCGCACGCAACAAAAATTCATGCCATAAAATGGCATTAAAAAAAAAAACAGAGAGAGAAGCGAGGGAGTATGAACAAAATAGATTTTCAACAAGGCATGTAATATCCATGGAACAAATATAATGGCTTTCACTCTCAGGCAAGCCGTTTCAATCATATACCATCATTCCCACCAAGAAGATAATATAATTCAGGTCAAGTCTCATTCTAGTTGAATATTAGTCTCAAATGAACCATTAGTGGAGCTAATAGCATGAACCATTAGTGGTAACAAATAAGATCAACATTGAAACTGTAGCTAATACCATGAAAATAAAAATAAAAAATCACACTTGCTTGTGATCTTGATTATTGCTTTTAGAATAAGGCCAAACGTTATGCCAAAATAGGCTCTTACTTTCTAATTCAAAGAAAAAATCAAAATTAAAGTGAAATGCAAGTCCATACAAGGAATATAAGAGGTAAATACTAAATATATCAGCAACGATTTAGAAAAAGCAACCGCCGAAATATGACGTTAAAAAAAGAAGGGTTAATTTCACCTATACCCCATGACGTTTGCCTATATTCCACACACACCCCATCTACATTTCATAATTTCACCTACACCCCCTGTCAGTAAATTTGTGATTTTACTATTTTTCCTTTCTTCTTCATCGTTGCCGGTGAGACCACCGAACTGAACTGACCTTCACCAGACTTGGGATCGCCGGACTGAACTGGGTCGAGGTAGCTGTGAACTTCGCCGCCGTTGTCTTTGATCCGGCTTACCTCGTTCTTGTCCAGCGTTACGACGGTGAGTACACGGCCGTAGATGCGACAGCGTTGAAGTCCAGCGTTTGGACTGAACTAAAGGATTCCTCCTTTTTCAGTCCGGCGAGCAGCGATTCAGTTATGCGAAACCCAATTCAGCGATTCAGTCATTCTCAAAGCTAGAACGAACTAAGTTCGACCAAACCCAGTTCAGCCCGGCGAGCAGAGATTCCTCAACCCACCTCGGTGAAACCCAATTCAAAACGGCCATAGACACGCCAGAGCTCTGTAGAAGAATTCGGCCTAGCTCTGTAACTTTGTCACCATCCGAACCATCACCATCACAACCCCAAGAATCTGATTCCATTCCTGTGAAGAAAAACGAAGTCAGATGTCGGCTCCTCCGCCTCCACCACCGCCAAATGGACGTCAATGCCGAAGAATCGAAGGCGAAGTCGATTGCGGAAGACGACGCTAAAGACCAAGTTGATGTCGGCAGCAGGTGTCGGATTACAACCTCTACGGCATCGCAATTAATGTCTCTCCACGTCGGATTACAGGCTCGATGGCATCGTAATCGGCGGCAAAAATCAGTGTCTCGTGCTCCGACGGGAGACCGGACCCAGCCTTTACAGCTTCTCCAACATTGCGCTGTTAATCAACATCGTCGGCACCGAAACCCTCGACCGTGACTTTCTGGTATATATATATATATATATATATATATAACATCACCTATATGGTGGCATGCACATTGCACAATTATTCAGGGGACAAAAAGTATCTTAAGTGGAGATTGGCCAGTTTACGCTTAGACTTTCTCTCTCTATTTAATCATTCGTTGGTTGGATACATGCATACATAGTGTGTGGATAATATCTATAGCGTAATAATCTTTTATTCATAAAATGAGTAAGAAATTCAACTACAGTTATATCGAATGATCATTATTCATGGATGAAATTTTTATTCATTGGTGATTAGCAGGACTATTATATAAGCCTTGACCCATGGGCAAATTGAAAAAATTAATTTAATTAATAATTTAAAAAGAAATTAAAATAAAATAAAATAAAATTTTTTTAAAAAATTAATGGGTCTGTGTGAAAGGAAGAAGATGATATATGAATATATATATATATATATATATATATATATAGAAGTGAAAGGTAGGGTATTTCTTGAGTTAATTAAGGGTAGTTTTGTAATTGCGTATTGGTGAACTGAGATTAAAGATGTCATTTTAGACATTAGAAGGTTAAAATTGACTTTTTAACAATTTTTTGATGTTGACATCAGCACACACCGTGAGTTGCTTAACGGCGGGGGTAATTTGCTATACAAACCAAAACCTTAAGGGAGGTCGGTAGAATATTGAAATATAGGGGGGTGTAAGTAGAATATGGGCAAACGTCAGGAGGTGTGGTTGGAATTAACCCAAAAAAGAATTAGAAAAGAAAGGGACTATGAACAAAATACATTTTCAACATGGTATGGAACAAAAAAAAATGGCTGTCTTTCTTCATGCCAACCACTTCTATCATATAAAATCATTCCCATTAAGAAGAGAATATAGGTATTAATCACTCCCATGAACATTGAAAATGTAGCTAATGTTCCACTAAGTCATCTAAAACCTACTCTTTACTTGTAGAGATATATGACCACAAAATTTATATTGATCATGACCACTAAGAGATGTCATTAAACTAGCATTTAAAAGAGGTATTTTTTAGGGAAAATTACATATAAATGGAGTCAAAGTTCCATATTTACTTAGAGACTGAGTCAAAGTTCCATATTTCTCTAAAATGGATTGCTGAGGTGGCACATGATTTTTTACTGTTTAGAAAATTGTGGTGCCTAAAATGCCCTTCCCTAACAAAAAAGTAGTACCTTCAGTGCAAAAAAATAGTACCTTCAGTTCAAAAAAGTAGTACATTCGGAGAAAAAGTAGTACCTTCGCGGGTGTTTAAAAAACATGGTACCTGGACGCCAAAAAGTAGTATCTTCAGTTCAAAAAAGTAGTACCTTCGAAGAAAAAGTAGTACCTTCGCGGAAGGGTATTTTAGGCACCACAATTTCTAAACAGTAAAAAACCATGTGCCACCTCAACAATCCATTTTAGAGAAATATGGAATTTTGACTCAGCCTCTAAGTAAATATGGAACTTTGACTCCATTTATATGTAATTTTCACTATTTTTTATGCAAGGCTGGTACTGACATTCATATACATGTCATGCAGGAACTACTAATAGGCTTAGAACAATGACCGATAAGTGGCTATAGAGAAATTTTAGATGGTCCCGGTCAATTAATATTGGACGTGTAAGCAAAAAGTCAAAAAAAAAAAAAAAACTTATACATTTCTGACACAATTACTTATGTGTCCATTGGTAATTGGTCCGAGACCATGTAATAACCTCTCGGTGACCATATCGTACGTTGTTCTATTGTATATTGGTTCTTCTAATTTTCTTGGTTCCTCCAACTCAGTTCTTGGTGCCTGTAATAGAGAAGACCTCCCACTCGGTTCTTGGTGCCTCCGATAGAGAATACTATGCTTGCTCCCCAAAGCCTCCATTTACTTTGTCGATTAAGACTAAGCTCTCTGTGCAAGTATTGACACCAAATGCATGTCCATGTACCCCAAGATACATGACATCGCCATTCCCCTTCAAGCCAGTAACTCTCACATAAGCTCCTCTACCAAAATCAAGAGTGAACAGATTGGTTCACGACTCCACAACACCGTATTGTTTCAGCACCCTGATTGAGATGTTGCCTTCCAGAGAAACACTATGGAACACAAAAAGTGAGTCTTGAAAAACTCAAGAGACATAAAATGTAGCCACCTTGGTAGCTCCATGGAGGAGAAAACCTAGCTACCCAAATTGAAAAACACAATGAACGGGAAACGATGACCAGGCTCGGAAATCCAGTGGAGAGTCCCATTGAGAGAAGTATGAGATGAATCAAAACGGATACAGGGTATGGTACCACAAACACTAATTCTTGTCCAACAGCCCTCTTTAAGAGAATACATGTCAACCTCAAGGCCACTAGAAACATAAGCAATTCTAACCACCTGATAGTCATTAGTTGTGGAATTGAATCCGAATCCAAGAGCACGATCACAATAGGTAATGCGAGGTTCTGGAAGTACTATGAATTTCCCAATAGAGGGGTTCCACAAATATAAAACATCCCTAGTGCTGCTCGGTGTATACTCGTTAAGGCATACCAATCCATTGAAAGAACCAATAATGGTGAAAAACGGAGTAATTAATACCATACTATAGGGGAGCCCCCCTATGGTAATTTGCACTCACATTTTCTTCATTTTGTAATAAAGATAGGTAGATACAATAATTACAGTTTAAAAAGAGTGTGATTTAATTATTTCTAAATTTATAAACTTGAACAACAACATCTCAGACTATTAAATTGACCCATTTAAACCATTAAAGTATAATATTAACATTTATAAGTCTTATAAGCCTTTTTATTTGACCAGAATAACCCTTCGAAAAAGAAAAAAAACAAACAAACACCAAACTCCACCACTGTGACCGCCAAACAAACAAGGGTGGAGCCAAGAATTTTTAAAGGGGTAACTAGTAATGCAAAATTAAAATTTTAAAATAATATAAAATTATTATAAGAAAATTTTATCTTTGCATGTTTAATGCGCTCGCTGAAATAGATAGATTTGTTATATTATCTAATACTTAAACAAAATTTTAATACAAAACTTTGATTTTCCATTTCAAAATTAAGAAATATGATTTTTAAATATATTTTTATTATTATTCCGTAGTAATATATTAAATATTAAAAGACCATTTTTAATAGTCATATTAAATATCACTTGCAAGTAATCACACATAAACTAATCTTTTTATTTCTTAGTGTTTACTAAAGCATTATTTACACAACATGTCACATTTTTCTTACTTGTTTTTTCATTCTTGAGGGTCATTTTGGTCAATTAATACGAGATTATAAAAATAATTTAATACTTCACATGGGTCAATTCAGAAGTCAAAGGCAAGTAAGTACTTTTATCAAATTTTATGTTGGGATGTCTTTATTTATTTTACCAAATCTGGAAGATGTCATCATTTGAAAAATGTTTAAGTTGTAGATAACTATCTTTAACCCACAGCGTAGGGGCTATACAGCTGGTAGGCTTGATGAATATTCTAAGGATAAATTCCACTTAAGTTTTGGTCATACAATGATGTAACTAAATTTTTAAGTTGCTACAAAAATTATTCAAATTTTGTTATAAAATCTTTGATGAAAAACAACAATATATATTTTTCTTTCATACGTTAGGAATTGCATGACAAAATGTCACTTATTATTAATATTTTTTAACCCCGGGTGAATGAGTTGGCTCAAATCCAACCAAATTACAACAATAATCAAATTGGTATTATAAAAAGTCTTCATTTAAATCCACAACCCAATTAACGTTAATTGATTGATGATTATTTGTTTCTAATTTTTTGTACCATAATATTTTATGAAAAAGGTGATGATATTGATGCTCCAAAATTCAACCTAGCGATCCACTTTCTTTCATTATTAATTGTAGTGAAAATTTTACACTCCTACATCGATCTCCTTAAATTAAAAAAAAAAAAAAAAATGTCGTCAGTAAATTTTTTACCTATTTTACTTGGCCTTGTTTAAATTAACAGAAGAAGAGATGAGAGATCTGATCCAATAGAAAAATCTTAATTTATGATAGTATCACAGACCAAAAAGTTGCAGGGATAAATGGTCTTTCGTTTTTGTTATTTTTATTTCTCAACTAAAGAAAAAAAGAAAAAAAGAAAAAAAAAAAAAAAAAAAAAAAAAAAAAAGGTTAGAGCAAAACATAAGTTATTATATTAGGCTTGGAGGGGTGAGAGCGCAAAGCTGTCAATTTATTAGATTTTTTTATTTTTTGTTTTTTTGTCTTTAAGGCGGCGAACCTTTATTAATATTTTTTTTTTTTTTGTCTTTAATTTTTAAATTGGAGGCGGCGAGGCGTACCTTTATGGTAAGTAAGTTGCCTATAAAAGGGCCCTCATTATCTATAGGATTTTAGGTTTTGTAAAGAACGAAGGTTCCAAGAATTCAGTCAAGCGGCGGCTCTCTCTGGCCCGCAGGTACGATCAGTCTAATTTCTCAGAAGTTTGATCTCCGTTCTGCCGTGGAAACTTAGTTCATCGCGTTGATGCCCAGAAGCATTACGAAGCCTGTCAAAAGGAGAGAAAAAGATATGGAAGAAATTTTGATTGGTTATAAGTTTCTTCCAACCGACAGTGAGTTGATTCAGTATCTTGTGTGCAAGGCGAAGGAAGAAGCCCTACCATGGGAGGGTGTTGTGAAGGACTGTGACGTTTATGGCAAGGAGCCCTCAGAGCTTTTTGAGGGTTCGGAAGAGAATGTTCTTTATTTTTTCACCAAGTTGAAGAAGAAGCACGGAAACGGGTCGAGGATTGATCGTGTGACGGCGACGATGGGTACATGGAAGGGGCAAGACAAGGCTAAACCTATAATAAAAGATGTCGATGGTACTACTGGTACCGGTGAGGGAGATGATCAAGAAACTGGCTTGATAGGAAGGAAGAGAACTTTTACCTATAGAATGAAATCGGATGCTAAGGCGGCGAAGGCCAAGAGTGGATGGAGCATGACTGAATATAATCTTGACGGCACTAATCTCCAAAGAGCAAAAGTAAGTACAGTGTGTGTGTGTGTATATATATATATATGTCTCTTATATTTTTTTTTTTATCTTTTTAGAATTCAACAGTCTCTAAATACTGATTTGATATGATACTCAGGTCAAAGACTATGTAATTTGTCGAATTAAAAGGCAAAAGCAGGAAGAAATTAAGTTGGAATCCCAAGTTAAGGTGATGCAAGCGGAGGAGTGCAAAGTGACAGTAACTCCGGCACTTGAAGACTGCAATACCATCACACATGCAATGGAACCCATATTACAAGACTGCAGCAACCTCATCACAGAAGCAATCGAATTTGATGGAACAACAGTACTAACGCAACCAGAAGAAGAAGAAGATTGCATGGATTGGTTGAATGATTTTGACTGCAGCAACCTCATCACACAATCAATTGAATTTGATGGAAAAACAGCACTGATGGAAGCTGAAGATTGCAGCAACCTCATCACACAAGCAATTGAATTTGATGGAAAAACAGTACTAATGCAAGCTGAAGACTGCAGCAACCTCAGCACACAAGCAATTGAATTTGATGGAAAAACAGTATCAACGCAACCAGAAGAAGATTGCAATTGGTTGAACGATTTTGCTACACAACTCCTCCAGAATCAAGAACATTTAGGAGACAGTGAAATACTAATGTTGCCCAACATTTTTTATGCAGATAGTTGGTCCCTCTCAGCTTGATTTAGATTGTCTACAATCAACTAGTGTACCCTGCTTTTAACTGTGTTTGGGTTATGTGTGTAACTTTGTGCAAAATTTTATAAATACATGAAGATAAATTGATTGTCAACCTTTAATTAAATTTTATCGAATATATTCATGTGTATGTGTGAGAGATGGGGTTTCACAAGGCTGATAGAATGAAATAATGTCAAGGGATAGAAGGCTTAAACCAAACCAGTCTCTACCAGTGAACAATTAGAAGGGAGGAAAAGCTGAAACCCTTACCATAACCTTTGAAAAGGTAATCACCAAATTTAAACTATTAATGTTAATTTTGACTATTAATCAAATTTAAAATGCCTGCCCGCCACCTTCTTCTTTTTTCATTCGCTAGGTAAACAGATTAAAAAAGCAATCAAATTGTTCCACCAAAGTTATATGGAGGCAATATATGACTTTTATTGAAGTTAAGTTGTTTATTCCAAAATGGACAAGCAAAGCCAAAGGCATAATACAAAGCTACCCACCAGAAATCCCAAAAGAAACCCCAAAGTAGAGGAAGCAAAAAAACCTGCTGCAACTGACCTCAGTCCTCGGTAAAATGAAGAGGACACCATCAAGAACTGGAAATCATCTTTTGTTCCCGTTCCACTGATATAACCTTTCGTTCAGCTTCCACTGATATCACCTTTTGTCCCGATTCCATTGATATCACCTTTCCTTTAGCTTCGATTGATATCACCTTTCCTTTAACTTCCATTGATATCACCTTTCCTTTAACTTCCATTGAACATATCAAACAAAAAAAATTATCATACCAAGTCTTTTTTTTTTTTTTTTTCAAGTTGCTTGATAGAAGAAAAATATATAAATTTGGATAGCAGAACATAGTAATAATATAAAAATCAACAACTATTTATGTTGTATATATATATGAATCTTTAATTTTTTAAGTTAATGCAGTTAGGCAAAAGAGAAAAACACCTTAAATCAGGTTACAGGAGTGGTATTGTTTTCTTAGTTATATCTAGGGTTTTTGAAGACAAGGGCCGTAGATCGAGTGTATTTGGATTAATGAGGGTTAATCTTCAGGAATTAATTTGGGGCTTTTCTCCTTTAGCTCTTTTATTATTCCAGGGTTTTCAAAAACGTTTCTACAAGTCGTGTGTTTGGAGGGAGAGAAAATTGGAGTTTCTTGATGTTGAGAGGAGTGTTGATGAAGGCTATGTAGTAACCTCCTTGCTTTATTTTGAAGGCTAAGGCCAAGAAGGGTGTCGTGTTCTTTTGCAGTGGTGGTGGTGAATTTGGTGTGATGTTTCTCGGTTTGTAAATGTGAGAGGAAGGTCATTTTGGTACATTGGTGTTAATAGGTCACGGATGGATTGGTAACTATATATTGGTAATTGAGGTTAAAAATATCATTTTAAACATTAGAAGGGCAAAATTGACCTTCAAACAATTTTCTCATGCTTACGCCAGCATAATCCGTGAAGTACTTAACAGCAGGGGGCAATTTGCTACATAATTCAAAACCTCAAGGGAAGTAGGCTGATGTAACTTCAAGCTATTCCAACTTAGAATTTTTATTTTGTAATATTATTATTATTATTATTACTTATAAGTTATCTGTTTTATTCAAGAAAACACAGCACAGAATTGAAAAGGGCATCCCCCAATAGTACAAACAAGAACTAAACACAGCACAACAGCAAACCAACAGAAAGAATCAAACATTCCAGAAAGGAATGTATCCAACAGTATGCCTGTTGAACCTACTTGCAGGAAAGGACAACATTTTAAGTCTAATAGGGTTGTAATTTGAAGAGACACAGAGAATTCATCCAAATAAGAATTAGAGTATCTTCCAGAGTTTGTTTCTCTC